ACCCTGTACTGTTCCACCAAGGAAGGTTTTAACATACAAGCAGATTGAAGATAAAGTGCTCATGTAGCCTTGGTGAGGCCCAACTATTAAAGCTGAACTCCTGGCAGATAAAAAAAGGCACAAAATGCAGCTTTAGTCAATCAATAAATTTTACATTTTATAAGTTTGTGAGCTGTGCGGATACCAACATGTAAACTTTATATAGAGCTTCTTATCCCTGTACTGCAGAGCTCAGAGAGGGTGAAGAAGCAACACAAGAAGCCAATCTGCTGGGCAAGGAGCATGCTGAGAGGAGGAGAGAACAGTGACAGGTGAGCTCAATGTTCTACTAGGGAACAAGCTAAAAACCCAGACAGGGCTGTGTAATAGTAAGGACTGGATGTCTGAAAAATCCTTGGCCAGCTAAAATAGCGCTCATAGGCATCTCATCAGTTTAGCAGTTTGCCTGGAGTTGAGCTTTAATCAGCGCTGACTCCTTAGTATCTCCCAAAGCCTCCCAATTACAAATCTCTCTGAATATTAATGCAATTTCATACTCAAAAATGGCTTCTTTTGAAACTGCATTAATATGCAGTCTTTTGAGCCAAGCTTTTTTTAACACCCAATAACCCAGCTATGAAAGACTTTTAGGCACTTCCTGTTAAATCAGCAAGCTCTGACCCCATCTCCCAGTCAAGTACCTGCGATGACAGTCAAACATTGGCAGTTATAACCACAAGCAACCAGTCCACCCATCCAGAGAAATGCTATGCAGCCTTTGCGTGTGTACAGAGGCAGTAGCTGCAGGAGATCAGTGGCCCCGAGGTTGAAAAGACAAAAAAAAAAAAAAGCCATTTTTTCCCTTAACAAAATCCTCAGCAATAGTCTGTTTTCTAATGCACTGTGTAACAGAGTGCCATCCACTTGGAATTTACCATTACTTAAAAAAAAAAAAAAAAAAAAAAAAAAAAAAAAAAACACACCTCAAGAGGCTTATTGGGTACAGAATGTAGGGTCCCAAATCAAACCACTTTCATAAAGCACTAAACCCTTAGGAATCCATGGTCCACCTAATCAGCCATCTGCTGCTGAGCAGATAGAGCCCAGTAAAAACCCTACTGGTCTGATCGGTCCCATTTCAGAAAGGACACCACCAGATGAGGTCAAAGTTCAAACCTTTTCCTATGGTTTTAGGGTCTACCAGGACAAGTCCAGGCCAGATTTCTTATGTGCCTTTCCTCTTGCTTCCAAAGAGTTACCATGAATGCTCAGGAGACCCCTCCATGGATGCTGCTGAATGGCAGAGTTGAAAACCTAGGTCCATCCAAGACAAGCTGTGTGCACTGGCCCTAAGAAAACCAAGCAACCCAACCCACTGGACAAGGTAGAACATCTTCACAACCTGAAAGCCAGTTCCTTGTGCCAAGTACAGATTTGAGAACCATAATTTAAAGCTTCCCAGCAGGCTGATCTCTCATTTGCAGGCAAGTTGTCACTTGAAAAACAGGTCAAGTCATACCATTGACTGCCATTTCTATAGCTTAACTGACAAGTTTACTTTTGATTAGCTGACAGGTATCCTACTAGGTCCATCACAGGTCAAGAGCCTCTCAACTACAAAGATTTAGGTGATGCCCTTGTTTGAAGTGTTCATGTAATAGGAAACAAATGTAGGTTGCGATTGCATGTAGCTCTGGCCTTGACATGGTTGACCTCTGCAGTACAATGCAAGCTGGCACTTACCACTGGGTGTGCTGGGGCTCCCATCAGATGTCCTCAGTGATTCAGGCTGTAAAAAAAGAAAAAAAAAAAAAGTTGGTATCATGAATCTTTGAAATGCATGACAGCCACCAATCCATAATACTAGTAAAATGAGAAAAAAAAAAAAAAAAAAAAATGTGAAAAGAAAAAAATTCACAAAAAGCAGTTACATTATGAACAGAAAGCGATACTCAAAAAATGATGCTTTATTACAAATTGCATGTAGACAATTCAAGTGAATACCTCAGTTAGCCATCACCACAAGATGACAATAGCTCAAAGTATGACCCAAAACCAATTTAAAAAACCAGACGTCATGACCGGTCATAAGTAGAGGTGCTGTAGATATGACACATGGTCTAGTATATATGCAGCACTGACACAGGTTACACCATGTAGGGGTGTTTCACAAAAATTGTACCATATGGCTGAGCATAAACAATGCAGTAATAATCTTGATAATAAAGTAGCAATAACAATGGGTTTGGTAGCCCAATGTATAGCCTAAACAAGTTAGGGAAAAATCTAAGAAGAGATTATATTGTCAATCTACCTACAGAATCACGAACTGTTCTAAACCAGATCAGGTAGTAATTAGAATAGGTATAATGAAGCAAAAGAGGTGGTGAGATTCCAAACAGCAACAGTCCTGTCCATAATACTTAGATGAACTTAATAACCATGGTAATATCTCCATGTAGCTTCCACCATGTGGAAGAGAAATGGCAGGGCTCTGCCAATGTGAAAAGGGGTTCTTCACCGCCACATGCGGGATACACATCTCCTTGATAATACTGTGATGTAGAATACAGGAGCATCCATGCCTGGTTGTAAACATAGGGTGCTGTGCACCTTTCAGATTATGTAACATGATGTCCCCATCCTGCAATAAATAAGTGACATTTAGAAAGTCAGTGAAGATGTCACTAAGTAGCAAGGCAATGGTGGCAGTGAGCTGTGTTTCCTGCTGAATATGCTATATAGCAGTCACCACCAGGGGCGGACTGACAACTCATGGGGCCCCTGTGTCCTTGCCCAAACTCAAAAAAGCCTATGAAAAAGGTACCAGGGGCATCTCATGGGGCCCCTACTGACCCCAGGCCCTTGGGCAGTGCCCGAGTTTCCAAATGGTCAGTCCACCCCTGCTCACCACCTGTGCCTTAGGTGATAATCTTGTAAAGTCTCTCATAAAGATAACCGCCCGTGGTCCCGGAGGCAGCCGCCACCATCGGGACTAAAAGCAGGCAGGCTCCGCTTCCATCCTGGTACTCCGCCAGATGAACGGTGAGTGCCGGCGTGTATTACCGCATCCCCTGCAGGACTAAGTGTATGGCGCCAATGCGTCTGACCGGAAGTGACGTAATTGACATGTGAAGTCAATGTGTTTCGCTGATGGGCGTATCTTACGCAGCTTCGTCAGGACCAATGAAATGCCTACCTCACATACCTATAGAATCACTATCTGGTTTTTAAACCAGATCAGGTAGTAATTAGAATAGGCATAATGAAGCAAAAATAGGTGGTGAGATTCCAAACAGCCCATATATGTAAATCAACTGGTGGCAAGTTAACTCGTTGGGGGAAAGAACTAAAATGTATTTCAGGTACATCTATAGCTTCAATTTACGCAGCGCTTCACATATATATTGTACATTCATATCAGTCCCTAACCCTCAAGGGGCGTACAATCTAAGGTCCCTAACCCTCAAGGGGCGTACAATCTAAGGTCCCTAACCCTCAATGGGCGTACAATCTAAGGTCCCTAACCCTCAATGGGCGTACAATCTGAGGTCCCCCTAACTCACATTCACACATACTAGGCTTATTTACACAGGAGCCAATTCACCTACCAGCATGTCTTTGGAGTGTACGAGGAAACCGGAGTACCCGGAGGAAACCCACACAGGCACAGGGAGAACACGCAAACTCCAGGCAGATGGTGCCTTGGTTGGGATTCAAACCAATGACCCTAGTACTGCCAGGAGGAAGTGCTAACCACTTAGCCACTGTGCTGCCCAAAATAAAAAAAAAAAAAACCCCACAAACAAGGAAACTGGTCATATAAAAACAAAAAAACAAAAAAAAACAAACAACACACATGTTCAGATACCTGGCCCCACAGTGGGAAAAAGAGGTTTCAGTATTTGAACGATATCACCATAATGGAGTTCTTAATAAATACTTTCATTCACCCGAAGTGAACAGAAAGTATTATAATACAACTCTCCATATTCGTTTATTTTTGCAAAAATACTTAGAGGTCACGTTCAACATTTAACCCTTTAGGGAATAGGGTGTCAAGTTTATATATCCAGTGTTTCTCACATTTTAAAAGCTCTATCAAAATCATCTCTTCTCTGCGGGAAATTAAGCACATAAATTCCTTTGACCTTAGTACCCTCCAATTTACCTCCATGGTATTTTGCATAATGTTGAGCCAAGTTACTCTCAGGATCATTCGATGTAATGCCTCTAAAGTGGTCACCTATACGTACTTTAAGCTGTTTTTTAGTTTTTCCAATGTACATTTTTTTCCCCCTTTCTAAATGTCACTTATTTATTGCAGGATGGGGACATAATGTTACATAATCTGAAAGTGTCTGTACACACAGAAATACACATGCAGGCACATGTTCAATTGTACACACACACACACACACACTAAAAAGTTGCAGTACTTCGTTGCTCACTCACAGATCTGGGTACTGCACTCTAGGGGGAGGCAGAGAGTACAGCACACTCCTTGCTTTGCTTTCATTGCACTCAAATATATTGAGCAGTCCGACGGCTCCCAGTGCCAATGACAGATCCGGCCTGAGCTCCGAGCCTGCTCAGCAAGATGGCCCTAGGGGACACACTCGCCCCAACCATAATTTCTACTCGCCTTTGGCGAGCAGAAATGTCAAGCCCTTGTGTAACCTATAAGTCACTGCTGCATACATACTAGACCATGTGTCATATCTACAGCATCTCTCTACTTATGACCGGTCATGACATCTGTTTTTTTAAACTGGTTTTGGGTCATACTTTGATGTATTGTCTCATCTTGTGGTGATGGCCAACTGAAGTATTCACCTGAATTGTCCATACATGCAATTTTGTAATAAAGCATAATTTTGAGTATCGCTTTCGGTTCATAATGTAACCGCTTTGTGAATCTCTTTTCACATCTGCTCTTTTTTTGAACCAATCCATAATACCCAAGCAGTGACTGAACAGTACCAACTTCCATGCCCTAGAAATGCCATGTAATGTGAAAATCAGGACATTCGTAAACCAGGTTTCATGGTATTAATGCACATGTTACTCACTGAACTCTCCGGACTGCTGCCTATAGTGTCTTGCACGCTACGAACATATGCATGTCCCATGGACTGCATAAGAAATTCACACCTGCAATGAAAAATTTCAGTTACCTCGAATCTGACCACCATCTATATCAAGTGTTCATACAGCTATTCAGTGGAATGTTCTCACTCTAGGGTCACCATTTGAAGGTTTTCACTTTAGAAACACAAGGGCACTCTTCTTGCCTCTGGGAGAGGTTAAAAAGGAAAACCGTAGGGGGAAATCCCCTGCAGTGCAAAAATAAAAATTTTGGACTAAGGTACCATTGAAAAGCAATTTTATGGATCACAGCTGCAAGCTTACCTTCCCATGCAGCTGGTGCCCCAAAGCAGCTCCTCTTCAGCAATGTAGTGGTGTCAGTGAGTACAGAGTGAAGAGAAGCAGCTTCAGGGGACCAGCTGCATGAAGAATAGGAACCTTGCAGGTGCAGTCCCACTCTGAAATCACATACAATGCATACACTACTCTGCACTGTGAGGGTGACCAGGCCTGCCTAGAAACCACAGTTTGAGGGAACAGGAAAGTACTGGCTGCTAGAGGAGTGCAGGATCAAGTAAAACTGTCATTTAATGGTGTCCATGGCAAGAGACCTACAAGGGTCAGTTTTACATTTCTTTGATGGACAGTCTTGGCAAGTCCTGCTAAAGCTTTGCATTGAATTGATTTGGGGGGTTCAAACATCTTTCCAGTTTACTGCTGTCTGGGACTACATTACAGATTTCCCTTCATGTCCTGCGGAAAAGTGGGTTTTGACAGATGTGGGGGTTTATAACAATACCAACAAAAAGCAGATCTATTCCTCTTCCAAACTGTAGATACTAGGTTGCCATTGCTGATTTTCACCTCACACCCTGAAACCATTGTCACCTGGAAAGGAAGCAAGGGAAATCTCTAAATGAAGACACAGATTCCAATAAAACCGAGAAGTTCTAACCCCAACCCCCTGCTTGGGCCAAACACTAACTGGGCTGGACATACAGCAACTGCATAAGGAAAGGGTTGTCTACTAGAACTGAAAGCATGCGCTAGTGCTCTACAGATTTGGTAATCGTTGAATTTCAGAAAGTTCTGGATAGGTCATAGACCACTTTTCCAGATACTTTGCAATACACATTTGATGAAAGTGTACTTGATGTTTAAAAGCCCCAACAAGATGAAAGCCATGCTTACCATGTTAACAGACTCACCTTGGAAACCATTTTGCATGTTCCCTCCAGGGGTCATCTCCCCTTTCCCAGTTCCTCAGTTCCCCATCACAGTGGAAGCACCGAACATTATCCCGCTGCCCTAGTGAACAAAAATCATGGGACATTATCCTTCTCTCCTAAAAGCCAATGGGTCAAAGCATGGGACATTATCCTCACCTAGAACCCAAAGGGTCAAAGCACAGAACATTATCCTCACCTAGAACCCAAAGCTTGGAACATTGTCCTCACCTAGAACCCAAAGGGTCAAAGCATGGAACCTTGTCCTCACCTAGAATCTGAAGGTTAAAGCACAGGACATTTTCCTCTCCTAGGACCCAAATGTTAGAGCACAGGACACTATCCTTCTCTACTAGAACACAAGTCAAAGCATGGGACATTATCCCCATCCTAAAAACACAAAGCAGCTGACAATGCCTCTGTCCTAGAACCCTGTCAAAGCCAAAATGTACACATGACAGGAGACCATCGCATATCTATGCAATTTTACAAATAGAATTCCTACATTTCTCCATTGGATTTGTATTCTTCTGCATCTGAGTTCTATGCAATGCCAATAGAATGCATCAGAAGGGCTTTAGATCAATTATCCATATGGGACATAGGAACTCACAGAAAACATTAGTAAGAATGTCAATGAAAACCTAAAAAAAACCTGCGGAATAAACACAAGGAAAGGTTTGCACATAGCTTGTTGCGCCGGGAAACACCTGTCAATGTCAGTACAACAGAAGAGCTATTGTTCCAGGTCATTGTGATCAGATTAGACACTATAATAACTTCCTGTTCTGGGGTCTTCCCAACACAACAGGGAGATGTGAGGTCAGAGGAGTCACCTGACCTCTGACCTCCAGAGCATAGGACTGTTCCATCCTCACCTGACATCACATGTCACAGAGAACCATTCACCAACTACATGCCGGAGGTCACCTGAACCATGAGTCAACCAGAGGTCACCTAAACCACAAGAGCCAGCATGCCCCTCCATCACAGTAATAGGATCAGATTGAGGTTGAATGGGTGGACCACTCACTGTCATGCCTGATGCATCTTCCCCTCCCCCAGTGACCTCATCTGTTGCTATGCAATTAATATCCATTTCACTATGTTGTACATGAAGACCAGAGAATGGATTGTTTATACTTTCTAGGGTTTTTTTTTTTTTTTATTAAATTCAATAAAGTAAAAAAAAAAAGGGATGCAACATTGAGACAAGAAACACTACCATCAGGTACTCCGGGGAGTATGGTGGGGTTGGAGCGATCCCAGTCCATACTAGTATAGAATACCCCAACGGTTGGGTATGATCCCAGTCCCCCCCAGTCCATACCAGTATAGAATTCCCCTATGGTAGGGTATAATCCCAGTCCCCCCAGTCCATACCAGTATAGAATTCCCCTATGGTAGGGTATGATCCCAGTCCCCCCAGTCCATACCAGTATAGAATTCCCCTATGGTGGGGTATGATCCCAGTCCCCCCCCCCCAGTATAGAATCCCCCCTATGGTGGGGTATGATCCCAGTCCCCCCAGTCCATACCAGTATAGAATTCCCCTATGGTGGGGTATGATGCCAGTCCCCCCCAGTCCATACCAGTATATAATTCCCCTATGGTGGGGTATGATCCTAGTATACAATTCCCCTATGGTAGGGTATGATCCCAGTCCCCCCAGTCCATACCAGTATAGAATTCCCCCTATGGTGGGGTATGATCCCAGTCCCCCCCCAGTCCATACCAGTATACAATTCCCCTATGGTGGGGTATGATCCCAGTCCCCCCAGTCCATACCAGTATAGAATTCCCCCTATGGTGGGGTATGATCCCAGTCCCCCCAGTCCATACCAGTATAGAATTCCCCCTATGGTGGGGTATGATCCCAGTCCCCCCAGTCCATACCAGTATACAATTCCCCTATGGTGGGGTATGATCCCAGTCCCCCCAGTCCATACCAGTATACAATTCCCCTATGGTGGGGTATGATCCCAGTTCTCCCCAGTCCATACCAGTATACAATTCCCCTATGGTGGGGTATGATCCCAGTCCCCCCAGTCCATACCAGTATAGAATTCCCCCTATGGTGGGGTATGATCCCAGTCCCCCCAGTCCATACCAGTATACAATTCCCCTATGGTGGGGTATGATCCCAGTCCCCCCAGTCCATACCAGTATATAATTCCCCTATGGTGGGGTATGATCCCAGTCCCCCCAGTCCATACCAGTATATAATTCCCCTATGGTGGGGTATGATCCCAGTCCCCCCAGTCCATACCAGTATATAATTCCCCTATGGTGGGGTATGATCCCAGTCCCCCCCAGTCCATACCAGTATATAATTCCCCTATGGTGGGGTATGATCCCAGTCCCCCCAGTCCATACCAGTATATAATTCCCCTATGGTGGGGTATGATCCCAGTCCATACCAGTATATAATTCCCCTATGGTGGGGTATGATCCCAGTCCCCATACCAGTATATAATTCCCCTATGGTGGGGTATGATCCCAGTCCCCCCAGTCCATACCAGTATACAATTCCCCTATGGTGGGGTATGATCCCAGTCCATACCAGTATAATAATTCCCCTATGGTGGGGTATGATCCCAGTCCCCCCAGTCCATACCAGTATATAATTCCCCTATGGTAGGGTATGATCCCAGTCCCCCCAGTCCATACAGTATATAATTCCCCTATGGTGGGGTATGATCCCAGTCCATACCAGTATACAATTCCCCTATGGTGGGGTATGATCCCAGTCCCCCCAGTCCATACCAGTATATAATTCCCCTATGGTGGGGTATGATCCCAGTTCTCCCAGTCCATACCAGTATAGAAGAATCCAGCAGTGGCCAGTTGCTCGGGGCTGAGGCCGGTATGTAGCGGCCAGTTGCGGAAGGTGCCCATGCGGCTGGTCAAGTCCAATAGTTCGGGTAGACGGCGTGCTCGTCCTGCTGCTCTCCGGGCAGTCGGTGGATCTGGCTGAGGATATGTCCGTCCACGGTGTCGGGTTCCCCGCGGAGGGGGACGTTGCTGGGCTCGGCGCCCGCGGAGGAAGGGGCAGGTCGGGAAGTACTTGCGGTGTTCGGTGTCGGCTCGGTCCCCGGGCTCCCAGCTCCGGAGGATTCCCCCGCAAGAGAAGCACTGCACCCACCCGGTCCCCGGTGCCCAGGTAGAAGAAGCCGGCCCGGGCCAGGTCATGGGGGGACACCGAGCCCGACCAGTCCCGGAACGTCAACAGGCGGTCCAGCTCCCGCTCCATCCCCGACTTCACCGCACCGGGGGGGCCCCCCAGGAGCCCAACACCTCCCGCACCGAGTCCATGGAGGAGCGCTCTCCGCTGACACTCACCGCACTCAGCCGGGGACACGAGCGGAGGACGTTCTGGAAGAGGACACGGGACACACCGTCACACCGGGGAGGGGGGGGAGGGGCACAGCATCACACCTGGTCCCAATAGTGTATGAGGGGGAGGGGTCACCTGTCCATAATACTGTATTAGGGGAGGAGTCACCTGTATGCACCACTATGAGGGGGAGGGGTCACACCTGTATGCACCATGGGGGGGATTGGTGGAGGTTAGTCACACCTGTACACTGCTATGAGGGGGAGGAGTCTGCCATCCATAATATATAAGGGGAGGGGTCACCTGTAAGCACTACTATGAGGGGGAGGGGGTCACACCTGTCCATAATACTGTATAAGGGGAAGGGTCACACCTGTCCATAATACTGTGGAAGGGGAGGGGGTCACCTTCAAGCACTACTGGGAGGGGGAGGGGTCTCACCTGTCCATAATACTGTATAAGGGGGGGGGGTCACACCTGTCCATAATACTGTATAAGGGGAGGGGGTCACACCTGTCCATAATACTGTATAAGGGGAGGGGGTCACACCTGTCCATAATACTGTATAAGGGGAGGGGGTCACACCTGTCCATAATACTGTATAAGGGGAGGGGGTCACACCTGTCCATAATACTGTATAAGGGGAGGGGGTCACACCTGTCCATAATACTGTATAAGGGGAGGGGGTCACACCTGTCCATAATACTGTATAAGGGGAGGGGGTCACACCTGTCCATAATACTGTATAAGGGGAGGGGGGTCACACCTGTCCATAATACTGTGGAAGGGGAGGGGGTCACCTTCAAGCACTACTGGGAGGGGGGGGGTCTCACCTGTCCATAATACTGTATAAGGGGGGAGGTCACCTGTAAGCACTACTGGGAGGGGGGGGGGTCACACCTGTCCATAATACTGTATAAGGGGAAGGGTCACCTGTAAGCACGGGGAAGGGGGGGGGGGGGGTCACACCTGTCCATAATACTGTATAAGGGGAAGGGTCACCTGTAAGCACGGGGAAGGGGGGGGGTCACACCTGTCCATAATACTGTATAAGGGGAAGGGTCACCTGTAAGCACGGGGAAGGGGGGGGGGGGGTCACACCTGTCCATAATACTGTGGAAGGGGAGGGGGTCACCTTCAAGCACTACTGGGAGGGGGAGGGGTCTCACCTGTCCATAATACTGTATAAGGGGAGGGGTCACACCTGTCCATAATACTGTATAAGGGGGGAGGTCACCTGTAAGCACTACTGGGAGGGGGGGGGGGGGTCACACCTGTCCATAATACTGTATAAGGGGAAGGGTCACCTGTAAGCACGGGGAAGGGGGGGGGTCACACCTGTCCATAATACTGTGGAGGGGAGGGGGTCACCTTCAAGCACTACTGGGAGGGGGAGGGGTCTCACCTGTCCATAATACTGTATAAGGGGAGGGGTCACCTGTAAGCACTACTGGGAGGGGGGGGGTCACACCTGTCCATAATACTGTATAAGGGGAGGGGGTCACACCTGCCTATACTACTATGAGAGTGTGTGTGGGGGGGGGGGGGGGGGTCACACCCAGGGGCAGACTGACCATTTGGAAGCTCGGGCAGTGCCCGAGGGCCTGGGGTCAGTAGGGGGCCCCATGAGATGCCCCTGGTGCCTTTTTAATAGGCTTTTATGAGTTTTGGGCAAGGACACAGGAGCCCCATGATCCCCTATTGCCCGGGGGCCCCATGAGTTGGCAGTCCACCCCTGGTCACACTGGTCCATAATACTGTATAAGGGGAGGGGGGGGGGGGGTCACACCTGCCTATACTACTATGAGGGGGAGTGGCTCACCCACCTTGTCACATCACAGGGGAGGGGCCATGATCACCCAGAGACTCACCGGCCAGCTGATCTCCCACTGCATGCCATCATATCCTTGGGTTTCAAGAGTGTCCATGCTGAAGGCCCCCTCCCGGACCATGCCTGCGTTCATGCTGATACTCCAGTGGATCATAGCTGAGGGAAACCAACTGTTCTGGAAGAGACATGGGGCAGTCACACAGGGCATTGGGTACCAGACCACATCACATAGGGGGAGGGGCACCACCCACCTGGGTACCAGACCACACCACATGGGGGGGGGGGGGAATTGGATGTCATCACCCACCTTAACATGCTACATCATGCAGTTATCACTTACCCACCAACATAGAATACTCACCTGCAGAGCGACAGGGAGGGAGTACCAGGCAGTGTAGAACCTGAATAGAACGTATCCACTTCCTGCGGTGTTCTGTACAGCAGAGCTCACACTGGAAAGGTAGAAGCAGAACAAAGTCAGGCGCAGGGGCGGACTGACCATTCAAGCACTGGCTGAGGGCCCAGGGTCAGTGGGGGGCCCCATAACATGCCCCTTGTACCTTTTATAGGCTTTTTTGGGTGTATTTTGAGTGTGGGCAAGGACACAGGGGGCCCCATGATCCCCAATTGCCCGGGGGCCCCACGAGTTGTCAGTCCGCCCCTGGTGAGGCGTGAAGCTCCTATTGAGACAAAATCACTGTACTGCTTCTCCTTTCACTGTCCAGTCACAGGCTTGAGGAAGGATTGACCTGCATGTGTTCCTGTACTGCAGCAGAGAAAAACCAGGTAATATGCAAGGATTCCATAGAGGTTTACAGTCTCAGCTGGAATGGTGTGTAGATTCAACTGACCATGGAAGATTATGGCTCCATTCACACTAGAGCAGGGGTACTGAATTAAAATTCAAGGAGGTCCGGTCACTAAAATTTTCTTCTGGTCAAGGTCCGAATAGGGTGTGTCCATCAGTCTGCCCCCTTACACTAGGTCAGGGGTAGGCAACCTGTGGCTCGCTAGCTGTTGTGGAACTACATTTCCCATGAGGCATTGCAACATTACAAAACTGACAGTTACTGCTATGACTTGCAGAGGCATGATGGAACTTGTAGTCCTGCGGCTCTCAGGTTGCCTACCCCTGCACTAGGTGTTGCCATCAGAGTACAAGTTTACATCATGTATTCCCATCACATCAGGTGTGCCCATCAGAGTGCCCCTTTACATCAGGTATCCCCATCATATTGACACCTTACATCAGGTATTCCCATCAGAGTGCCCCCTTACACTCAAAGTACCCCTTTCTATCATATTTCCCCATTAGACTGCCCCTTTCCATCACATGTACCTATCAGAGTGCCCCTTTCCACAGTATGGCCCATTTGTGCCCCTCTTCACATAAAATGGGCCCAGCAGAGACCCTTAACACAAAATAAGGGGCACGCTGATTGGAACAGGTGCCATTGAAATCTATGATATTGGAATGGTTCCTGCAGTACTTTGATGCAACGAGAACTCCAGTCCCACGGAGCCTTAAGCCATTGGCTACAAGAAATCCGTTATGTATCCAGCAAGTCTTCCAGGACAAGAGCCGGATGGAACAGTCCCCCCCCCCCACCCAGATTTAATGATGCTCCAGGCTAGGTTGACACTTGCCCACAGGTTTGTGAGCTGCTTTTGGGTGCTGGAATGGCAGTTCTTCCCACTCAGCCAAATTGCGCCGCTCTTTTGACACTCTGAATGACCCCCGTGTATCTCAGCCCGCAGTGCATTTGTGGGTGTGGGAAGACCATGCGGTTTCCCTGCAGCTACATTTTTAATAAGACGCAAAAACCTTTCTGCAGGATACACAAGCAAATGAACGGGCTGCCGCACCCATGTGAACATGGGCCGCATGTCCCGCAGTAGTGTGAATGTAGAGCCAATCGGGGGGGAATAGAGCCAAAATAAATAAAATCGCGCCCACCACCCGTCACCCAACTCATCTTCCAGGACCACATACAAAGGACAGGAAGTTAAGGTGGGATAAAGGCCATCAAAGCCAGAACAGTCCAGAAGATGGAGCCAACAGGCAAGAAATCCTACTTCTAGAAAAAGAAGAATAACAGGTACATACCCAAGCTGCTCTAATACTATACTTCATAGGCAGCAAGTGTTATCTGAAGAATAAAAAGGAGAGAAGATTACAGAAGCCTAGATACTTTAATCAACATGAGGCCAAAAAAAAAAAAAAAACCATCATTTAAACCTTCATAGACCTTGAAGCTCTAAGGGATGGAGAGAAGTTTCTCTTCCCCCAGCAACCAAGGGATGGCGACCCCCCCATGCCTCATTCAGAGTTAAGTTTTAAAGACTCCAGCTTGTATCAGTTACTGTACATACACAGTTGCCTTTTAGGCCTCATCCACACTTAGGCTCAAACACTTTCTGCCTCGTAACTCCCCCCCCCCCCCCACCAGCTTCAGGTCTGTAGATCCCCTTGGACCGCACCATGCATCAGCAATGAACAAGGATTGTACACACGAAGCCAATGACCTATACCACCATAAACGAGGAGGAGAAGGTCCATTGGACATTTCAGAATCCACATTTAGCAATTAAGTCTTGACGAGCCCTGTGGGTTGTACTGCCCGTCTGGCTTTTGGAACCATCCCTAGTAAACCACCCTATTTTAAGAACAGATCTGGGAGGGGGCCCATAGGCATCCCCACCCAAGTCTCAGAGTGCATCCACTGATCCACAAGCTAGTCTGATGCAAACCAGTTAATACAAGGCGGCACTCTGACAGGGACTCCCAACATAAGTGGGGGGCAGGGGCAGACTGACCTTTCGAGCACTGCTCGAGCGCCTGGGGTCAGTAGGGGGCCCAATGAAATGCCCCTGGTACCTTTTTTTATAGGCTTTTTGAGTGTGGGCAAGGACACAGGGGCCCCATGACCCCTATTGCCCAGGGGCCCCATGAATTGTCAGTCTGCCCCTGGTGGGGGAGGGGGGGGGGGGGGGCACAGATTCTGTTTAGTCACCCTGATCTAA